AGGAAACAGATGTTATATACATCAGGAAAAGTGTCTTTTGGACTTGAACTTACCCTAGTGAAAACATATCGGATTTACTTGATGACGCAGTGGATATAGTTGATCTTGAACTGTTCACCGTTATAGTAAACCTAGACAATATGTCTCACACATATAACATCTTAACAAACGTTAGTTCATACGTTTTTGTTCATTTTGGTCCTGAACATATCCCAGGTTTCATGAGAGCTTTAGAGAACTTAGCCTTTTATTTTCCGTTCTCATAAATGCGACCCCACATTTACTCCCATATAGGTGACACCAATTAAGAGTTTTCTGCCTAAACTCCTCTTAGTAAGATATTAGTGTCATTAAATGCAAAGCATAACCTTCACATCAACAGACAACACACTAATCATCATAGGAATGAGTTAAATTGTGTGTTCAACTTTTGAATCTTACCCAACCAGTTTGCCTATTGAACCTAGACCATGGGATCTCCAATCAACTAGGTTAGGTTTCCGTCAGGTTTGATTCATTGGATTGGCTTCAATCCCATTCCTCTCGATGTAAATTTGATTTGCTCTCTTGGTAGGCCTTTTGTCAAAGGATCTGCAATATTTTCCTTTGACTTCACATAGTCAATGGATATAATTCCATTTGAGAGCAATTGTCTAATTGTATTATGCCTACGCCTGATATGTCTTGACTTTCCATTGTACACACCACTCTTGGCTCTTGCTTGTGCTGCCATACTATCACAATGTATACAAATTGTTGTCACAGGCTTAGGCCACATTGGAATGTCCTCTAGGAAGTTTCTCAGCCATTCTGCTTCTTCAGCAGCTTTATCTAAGGCTACAAACTCTGATTCCATTGTAGAGCGTGCTATACACGTCTGTTTAGAGGATTTCCAAGATACTGCAGCTCCACCTAATGTAAATACATATCCACTAGTTGATTTGGTTTCTGTACTGTCAGAAATCCAATTTGCATCACTATAGCCTTCTAGAACTGGTGGATATCTAGTGTAGTGCAATCCATAGTCTTGGGTGTATTTCAAATATCTTAGCACCTTTATTAGTGCTTCCCAATGATCATGTCCAAGATTGCTTGTGTATCTACTAAGCCTGCTTACTGAATAAGCTAAGTCTGGCCTAGTAGAATTCATTAAATACATTAAGCTCCCAATTACTTGGGAATACTCCAATTGGGAAATTGCATCTCCACTATTCTTTTTTAACTTGCAATTTACATCAAAAGGAGTCACAGCAGGTTTGCAGTCAAATTGACCAAACTTTCTTAGAATTTTTTCTGCATAATGGGATTGAGTAAGAATATACCCATCATTATTTCTTTTGATTTGAATTCCCAATATGACATCAGCTTGACCTAAGTCTTTCATGTCAAAACTTGAATTCAACATCTTCTTTGTAGAATTTATCGCATCCTTACTCGTTCCCATTATGAGCATGTCATCAACATATAAACATACAAGAACACAAGAATTCTTGTTGTTTTTTATGTAGACACACTTGTCACATTCATTGATCTTAAATCCGTGTGACATCATTGTATGATCAAACTTTTCATGCCATTGTTTTGGTGCTTGTTTAAGTCCATATAAAGACTTAACAAGTTTACAGACTTTAGTTTCTTGACCTTTTACCACAAAACCTTCTGGTTGTTCCATGTATATTTCTTCATCTAATTCCCCATTCAAGAAAGCTGTTTTTACATCCATTTGATGTATGTCCATATTGTGTATTGCAGCTATAGCAATTAACATCCTTATAGATGTAATTCTTGATACTGGAGAATAAGTGTCGAAATAATCCAACCCTTCCTTTTGCCGATACCCTTTAGCAACTAAACGTGCCTTGTATTTATCAATAGTACCATCGGCTTTTAGCTTTCTTTTAAAAATCCATTTATATCCAATTGGTTTGTTACCAGGTGGTAAATCAACCAATTCCCACGTATGGTTCTGCATAATGGATTCTACTTCGCTATTAACAGCTTCCTTCCATAAAGGAGCCTCAGGTGAAGCCATAGCTTCCTTATAAGTTTGTGGTTCTTCTTCAGTCAGGAAACTTACAAAATCTGGTCCAAAACTTTTTGGTGTTTTAGTCCTCTTTCCTCTTCTAGGTTCCACTTCCTTTTCTTGGACACCTGAAGAGGATGGTTCATCAGGATTTCCATCATGTACTTTCCTTTTGTTTGAACCAGACCTCTTTTCTTTGTAAGGAAAAATTTCCTCAAAGAAATCAGCATCAACAGATTCTATAATTGTGTTAACATGTATATCAGAAATATCAGATTTAATAACTAAAAATCTATATGCAGCACTTGTGTTAGCAAAACCTATGAAAACACAATCAATAGTTTTAGGTCCAAGTTTTACCCTTTTTGGTAAGGGTACTTGTACTTTAGCTAGGCAACCCCACACTTTCAGTGTCTTGTATGTAGGAATCCGTCCTTTCCACATTTCATAAGAAGATTGTTTACTCTTCTTATGTGGAATTCTGTTCAAGATGTGATTTGCAGTAAGTAAGGCTTCACCCCACAGATTGTGTGGAAGCCCAGAGCTATTCAACATGGAATTTATCATATCCTTGAAAGTTCTATTTTTCCTTTCTGCTACACCGTTTTGTTGCGGTGTATATGGTGCAGTGGTTTGATGTATAATTCCATGAGTTGCACAAAAATCAGAAAATGCAGTGGACTCATATTCTCCACCTCTATCTGATCTAAGTACTTTCACTTTTCTATCAAGTTGATTCTCAACTTCTGCCTTGTATGTCTTAAACATCTGTAAGGCTTCATCCTTGCTATGTATTAAGTATACATAACAATACTTACTGCAATCATCTATAAATGTTATATAATAATTTTTCCCACCACGAGTTGGTGTAGATTTAAAGTCACAAAGGTCACTATGAATTAATCCAAGTAATTCATTTGATCTTCCTTGAACAGATTTAAAGGTTTGCCTAGAAAACTTGGATTCTGTACAAGTTTCACACTTATTATCAAAGTCAATATCAAATTTAGGCAATAAACCTAGGTGCATCATTCTATGCATAGATCGATAATTTACATGACCTAATCTAGCATGCCAAATATTAGAAGACTCAGCAAAGTAAACGGAAACCTTATTTATATTATTATTAAAAGCATCATTGCCAGTTACATTGAGTTTGAACAAACCATCAGCAAGGTAACCCTTTCCTACAAACAGCCCTCCTTTGGTTAGGATGAACTTGTCAGATTCAAATACAAGTTTGAAACCCTTCTTACTAAGAATTGGGCCAGACACTAAGTTCTTCCTAATTTCAGGAACATGCAGCACATCCAAAAGGGTTAAAACCTTCCCAGAAGTGAACTTCAGCAGCACACTGCCTTTGCCTTCAACTGCAGATGCAGAGGCATTTCCCATGTACAGTTTCTCACCACCAGAATTCTGTTCGTAATCAGTGAACAGATTTCTGTCACCACAAATGTGCCTAGTAGCACCTGTATCAACCCACCAGTCCTTAGTATCAGAAACCAGATTGGTTTCAGACACTACAGCCACAAAATGTTCATTGACTTCAGTCACATTGGCTTGAGGATTGGTTGGATTTTGGTCTCTTCGGTGGCGGCAATCTTGTGCTTTATGCCCTGGTTTTCCACATACCCAGCAAGCACCTTTGATTTTCTTGAAATCCTTGCCTTTTGGTGCATGAGTTTTGCCATAGTTCTTTGCAACTTTCTTGCCCTTGTTATTCTGGAATTTTGGCTTTGATGTCTCAACGACATTGGCTTTGGCTTCCATGACAGGCACTTCACCCTTGTCACCTTTCCTGTGATCCTCCTCAACTCGAAGCCTCAAAATCAGATCCTCCATAGACATCTCTCTGCGCTTGTGCTTCAAATAAATTTTGAAGTCTTTCCATGATGGAGGCAGTTTCTCTATGATTGCTCCAACCTGGAAGTGTTCATTAATAGAGCACCCCTCTGCAAGCAAATCATGGATCAGAATTTGAAGTTCTTCAACCTGTTTAATAACAGTCTTCGAATCAACCATGGCATACTTGAGAAATTTGCCAATCACGAACTTTTTGGCACCAGCATCTTCTGTTTTGTATTTTTTCTCAAGTAATTCCCAAACTTCCTTTGCAGAATTGTATGACGAATAAATGTCATACAGAGTATCATCAAGCCTGTTAAGGATGTAGTTTCTGCACAGGAAATCAGATTGTTTCCAAGCCTCAATGGTCATCATTGTTTCCTTAGACATTGGATTTTCTCCTGATTTGGGAGCCTCCTCTCTGACAACATGTGCCAGATTCATGGTTGTGAGATAAAACAACATCTTCTGTTGCCATCTCTTGAAGTCAATTCCCTTGAACTTCTCAGGCTTCTCGTCATGAGGATTCTTAGTCACCCCGTTCACAGTCACTGATGATTGTGAATCCATTTTACTGTCTTTAGATTGTTGGAAAAACAATTATCAATGACTGATTAAAACAATTATATAAACAGAATTTATAACAATCTGTAATACAGAATACAGTATATTAACAATAAATAAAACTGACTTGAATTTGAGATAGAGGCTTGCAGATTTGATGCAATGTCCTAAAGACAGTAATTTCACCCCTTCTTGGTGCTTGAAGTTCTACAGGTGACTGCCTCCCAGGATTCAACTATCTGTATTCTAAGCCCTAGCACTCGGACTTAGAATCTGGCGAACAAATAATTTTAAATCTGAAAGTGCCCAAGTGGCCCAAGGCCCAAGGCCCATCTTTTTGACCATTAAATATTATATGTTTTTATATAATATTCAAAGCCCAAATTGATTTTGAAGCCCAAATTGCTTCCACTTGGCCTACTTCCATTTACTATTTGTGGCACTTCCACACTTATAAGGACCTCACTCTTTCTACTTTCTATCAATGTGGGACAAAGGTTCTTGAATTTAATTCAAACTTCCAACAGATATAAAAGCTGTCACGCTAAAAAATGCTCCTGAAAATATGAAGTTGACATCACCTGATATCCAGAAGGACATTTCAAGTGCTATTTCAACTGAAATTATCAATGCAATCATAAGGGATATTGGTGATTCATTATTTGCCATTCTTGTTGATGAATCGTGCGACATGTCTTCAAAGGAGCAGATGGCAATTGTGCTACGTTATGTGGATAAAGGTAAGGTAATTGAACGTTTTGTAGGTATTGTGCATGTTACAGATACTAAATCTTCTTCACTCAAGTTAGCCGTTGATGATTTCTTTTCGAGACATGGATTAAGCATCTCTAGATTGCGAGGGCAGGGTTATGATGGCGCAAGTAATATGAGAGGTGAGTTTAGTGGTCTTAAAACACTCATTCTAAATGAGAATGACTCTGCTTTTTATGTTCATTGTTTTGCTCATCAACTTCAGCTAGCTCTGGTAGCTGTGGCAAAGAAACATTCAGAAATTGCAAATTTATTTACTATGGTTTCTAATGTGGTGAATGTTGTGGGTGCATCTGCTAAGCGCCGTGATATGCTGAGAGAAAAGCATGCTGATGCAATTTTTGAAGCACTCAATAATAATGAGCTCTTAAGTGGACAAGGCCTGAATCAAGAAACTAATCTTAAGCGGTCTAGTGATACACGATGGAGCTCTCATTATAATTGTTTAATCAGTTTGGAAAACATGTTCCCATCTGTGATAGATGTGCTTAAGATTGTAAGAACATATGGATCAGGTTACGAACAAAAATTTGAAGCAAAGGTTCTATTGACTTTTATGCAATCATTCAGCTTCATTTTTGGTCTACACTTGATGAAAAGAATTTTGGGAATCACAAACGACTTGTCTCAGGCATTACAAAAGAAAGATCAAGATATTGTGAATGCCATGGACTTGGTCAAAATATGTAAAGGAAGATTGCAAAGCATGAGAGATAATGGTTGGGATTCTTTACTTGATCAAGTTTCTTTCTTTTGTGGCAAGTATCATATTGAAATTCCTAAAATGGATGATATTTTTTCTAGTGGAGGGAGACCAAAATGTAAAGCTCAACCCATCACAAACTTACATCATTATCGTGTTGATTTATTCGTTGATGTTATTGATATTCAGCTCCGAGAGTTAAATGATCGGTTCAATGAGAAGAATACTGAATTACTTCTTTGTATGGCATGCTTGAGTCCAAGCAATTCATTCTCTGCTTTTGATAAAGCAAAGTTGATGCGACTTGCCCAATTTTATCCTAGTGATTTTTCTGAGTATGACCTCAAATTACTTGAAGAACAACTTGAGAATTACATTTGGGACATGAGCTCTAACGATGAATTTACAGAATTGAAAGGGATTACTGATCTTGCGCAAAAGATGGTTGAGACAAAAAAAGATCAGATCTACCCTTTAGTGTAGTTGCTTTTGACACTGGCACTAATCCTACCTGTTGCGACCGCAAGTGTAGAGCGAGTATTTTCTGCTATGAATATTGTGAAGAATCGGTTACGCAATCGAATGGGGGATTTGTGGATGAATGATTGCTTGGTTGCATATATTGAGAAAGACATTTTTAATAGTATAGATGACGAGGTTGTTATGCAACGATTTCAAAATATGAAAACTCGTCGAGGACAATTATGATTATAATGAATAGACAATATGATTTTTGATGTTTTGATGTCTTGTGAATTCGAAGTTTTTATTGTTTATATTTTGTAAAAGGCCCCCAGACACATGAAATCCTGGCTTCGCCACTGTACCTAGACCCACCCGAAACCCAACCCAGATCTCATCCTCCACTCCTCAACTCTCATATCTCTCCTAAGAACCCCACAACCATCTCAAATCCAATTTTTTTGTAAAATCAATATGCTTCAAAAAAAATTTCAGATCTGGAACTTGGGTTTGGTGGATGTCGAAAAGAGAATGGGTAAAGAGAAAAAGGGAGATAGAAAGAGGGTGGGATGGGGTTGGTGGGTATTGATTAACTCCTGATTTAGAGTCTCTTGTTTGTTTGAGAAAAATAGTTGTTCCAGTGGGGTCTTGATAGAGAAGTTGAAGAGGATGGGGTCTCAGTTAGATATATGGGTTTTGTTTGACCCGTTTCCATGTGAAACCCTTTAAAACCATCTTTTAACCTCAACCATCCAAGTTTATTCAACGGTCTAGATACAAGTTCACACTTAATGTTCTCATATAGCTGTTCTCACCTGATCCGACTCGTCTATGAAATATTTGATTTCATGATACTACGAAATCAAGCTAATTATTAGGGCAATTTCCTGATAATTGTTAATGTTAGGGAGAAATCTTTCAAGAAACTAAAAACAAAAATAACTCATCACCTGTCAACAGTTAGCAAATGGTAAAATAATAGTCAGTACAATAACAATGGAGTCCAATTTTTTTTTTTCCTTCAAAACGGTGTTTTCAGTGTATTTTGTTATGAAAGGGATATTTGCTAATTTTTACATTAACAAGTTTCTCAAATTGTTTGCTAAAAGAACATGTGTTATCTGTAAACTTGACTTTTCATATAGATACATGATACATCTTTTTTTTTTCTTTCCCCAACGTGAAACTTACACATACGAGTACTGTGGGGTTTGAATTCGGGACAACTTAGGAGCACACCAAAAGCCTAAGACAATCTAACTAACACCCCATTAGTAGATACATGGTATCTTGCTGAAATAAATTTGTTCACAATCCATTTGTCTTCTGCTAGACTAGGGTTCCAAGAGGTGCATGTACATCTCATAATACAAGAACCATTTTTTTTTAAAACGTCTTATTACAAGTTTCTTCACTCTCATGAGTCATGGACATCTCTTATGAAAGTATTAATGGTAGTTTGGTGAGCACCCTTACTACATACTTACTTACGATAGTAACTCTCTCACCATTTCCAAAAGCAGGTGTCAATCGACCAAAACTTCAAAGGCACAGGACCACCTTGCATGTTTTTCTCTCAACATTTTCTGCAATTTATTGGCAAATTTATTCACTCCCATATGGAATATTTTACACCAGGAACAAATATATTCATGTAGAGCCCGCCTTTTATATCACTCCGCCTTCTTTCCTTTCTCTGCGTTCTGTTTCTATCAAACAAAATTTGGAATTGGATATTTGCTAGCTATGGAGATAGAAAAGCATAATAATGGTGTTTGCGTCGATCCAGAGAGGAATTTATCAGCTGGTAGAAGAGAAGATATTATTGGTCATCTTCATCATCTTGGCATGTATTTGGTGTGGGAAGATCTGAGTGTTGTGCTTCCAAACTTTGGGAATGGGCACAGCAGAAGACTGCTTGATGGGCTGAGTGGGTTTGCTGAGCCTGGTAGGATCATGGCTATTATGGGTCCTTCTGGCTCTGGCAAATCAACCCTTCTTGATTCTTTGGCAGGTTTGTGTTTCGTGTTTGTTTGGGTTACTATATATTTATATGTTTCAATCACATGAACAAGTTCAGTTAAAAAATTCAACACTTCTGGGTTCTAATTGGTTTAAGAAATAGTTGTCTTCTTGATTCATTTGCAAAGTTATGATCTTATCATTTAGCAGAAGATGTAGATATATAGTTTGAGCTGTGCATGTGTATATGTAATAATCAAGGTTTAGAATTCAAATTAGCTCCCATTAAGAGTTAAATGAGTTTTCTTGGTAAAATGTTTTGCCTCTTAAGAAGGTTTTTTTGCACAAGCAGATGAAGGCTATGCCTTGTTTGGTATCTTACTCAAAAAAGTAAATTCAAAAACTATGATTCTTTTTAAAAACATGAGTTTTCAAATAGTGATTTTAAGATCTAAAAACTTGTTTGGTATTGAACTCCAAACTATTTTGAAGATCTAAAAAAATTGAAACTAAAATCAGAAAATCAGAAACCCTAGATTCCAAAATTGAAATTAACAAAAGAAAAGGAGAGAGAGAGAGAGAGAGAGAGAGAGAGAGAGAGAAAAAAATATATATATAACCTCACTTTTTTTGTTTTTAATAATGGAGATATTTTTTAGTTTTTCTTGGGTTTGAATTTTTACAAATGGACCTACCAAACGAGGTTTTATGGCTTTGGACTTAAAATCTGTTTTTGAGTTTATAAAATTAGATCCAAGTTTGATACCAAACAAGCCCTCTTCTGTCACTTGATTTTTGTTTTATCTACTGTGCACCAATTTTCAGTTTACAAAATTTTAAATATCAACCTATGTGATAGTGCCTTTATTTTTTATTTATATTAATATTTTTAAATAGCATATAGTAGTCCATGGGCTGATATACGAGAAGAACTTACATGTAATGGAGATGACACTATGACGGTATTCCAAACCTATCAAACATTGTCATGTCAGAAAGTTCAAACACATAGTAATAGGTGGTTGGCTCGGAATAGCGCCACAATGATATCTCCGATATAGGTAAGTTTTTCTCCTAATATACCAAATATGGATAAATGGAGTTTGTTATGGGTTAGTAAATTGGGGAGGTTGGTTGTTAAATAATGACCGATGACCATTTAACATAGGATTGGCATTTAAAACCTGAGACTGAGAGCACAGGCTATGTGCACTATTAATTCTCTGCTTGACTTAAAGTGCATGTTCTGCCTGTCTGTTACATTGATAACATTTTAAAGCCAAAGAAAGAGACAGCAATCTGTTGCATTATTATCATCTTCTTTCAAATGAACACATTGTGGACAAAATTTTGTTAGAAATGTTCGTGTCACGTGGTAGTGTAGAATGATTGAGTTCAATGTATTCAAATTTGATGGCTAGTTTTTATTTTTAAACACGTGTAATTTTAACCGAACTATTTTACCACTAAAAAAAAATTTACTGGTGTTGAGAGATGCATGAGTGGAGCATGAAAGATCTAAAATTGGCCGTTCCATTATTCATGCACTAGGCATGCAGGACAGGCCCACTCAGAAACTTTGGGGGCACCCACATGATAGTTTTTAAGTCTTGTCTTCACTGTTCAGGACCTTATTTCTTTGGTGTAGATACAATGAATGACACAGCTAAAAAAGTTATTTTCATGGTTTAATAATTCTTGAACTCCCACAAAGCCTCAACTACTCTTCTAGGTAAGGAGGTGGTGGGATGTACACAGGGACGAACCCACAGTGGGGTCAATGGGGTCAAACGACATTATGGACTCTATGAAAGCAAGGGTAGAAGCTCCCCTTGAATCGTTGTGTGACCCCATGAATGGATGAAGGAGGATGATGCAGACCTGACGAAGAAGAAGTTGAACAACGCTTCCTCTTTTTTTTTTAAAAAACTAGCTGGCCAAAACGGTGTCGTTTGTCCACTGTTTATTTTATTTATTTTAAACACGCTGGCCAAAACGGCATCGTTTTGACCCAGCGTTAAATTATTTTTTTTCAAAACGCGCTGGCCAAAACGGCGTTGTTTTGGACCAGCTCAGCAAATTTTTTTATAAAACTAGCTAGCCAAAATGTCGTCGTTTTGGTCCAGCGCCAACAAATTTTTTTTTCAAAGACCTAGCCAAAACGACATCATTTTTGTCCAGGTCTTTTAAAAAACAAATTACAACAGATTTGTAACAGACCTCCCGATTTCAAAACTCCAAAACCCCCATTTCTAAACCCTCAAACCTAAATCCCCAATCTCCTCTCCTCCCAAACCTTTAACCCTCTCTCCCACCAAACCTCTAAGCACCAGCTCCTCCATTGCTGCCACTACACCGCCTCCAAAAGCTTGCCTCCGCTTCCACCACCTCACAATATGAAACCTCGTCGTGGCCAATTGTAATTTGTAATGTTGTTTTTTACATGAATTATGAATGAACGTACTATAATTTCATGTTCAATGTAATTTTTAATCTTTAAAAAAAAATTGAACTTTTACACTATGACCCTACGAGATTAGATTCATGGGTCTGTCCCTGGATGTCCATACCCCAAGCCTAATTACATATAAACACTATAGTGTGTTTACTAATCAGGAATTGAATTCCAATTATGGAGAATTCATGTGTTACTTCACATCAAGGAACTAAAAAGTAAGTGGGGCCCACACAAAATTAGGAATTGAATTCCTGATTTTGGAGGAATTCAATTCTCGAGTGGGAGGTGGTATTCTAATTCCTGAAGAACTAACCCATTAAGAATTCATCTTTTTATTCATTATTTCCTCACACAATTTTAAAAGTTCCAAATTTGTCATCTACTTTAATCCAACAATGAGAACATTTTAGTAATTAGTACCACTCCTACCTCAATTCTATATGGTTTAGTAAACAACTTCAATAGGAATCCGGAATCTAATTCTCCTCAATCTAACTCCTCCTCAATTCAATTCAATTTATCCTCAATTCAATTCCTCATAATCCAATTACGAATTAGTAAACATTGTTGGCGTGACTTGTGGACCATTGACTTACTTTCT